AGACAATCAATCCAAATAGAAAAGACTGGAGTTTACGGTTGGATGACGCACTCTGGGCTTATCGTACAGCCTACAAGACCCCTATAGGCCTGTCTCCATATCGTCTTGTTTTTGGTAAGCCTTGTCACCTCCCCGTGGAGTTAGAGCACCACACTTATTGGACTATCAAGCAATGCAACATGAAGATGGATCAGGTTGGTGAACATAGGAAATTACAATTGCAGGAGCTAGAGGAGATTAGAATTGATGCATATGAGAGCTCCAGAATTTACAAGGAAAAGATAAAGAATTTTCATGACCAAATAATTTCTAGGAAACAATTTTCAATTGGACAAAAAGTTTTACTTTATCATTCCCATTTAAAATTATTTCCTGGAAAACTAAGGTCCAAGTGGATTGGTCCTTTTATTGTTACTAATGTATTTTCTCATGGTGAAGTGGAGATACAGAGCCTAGAGACAAACAAGATTTTTAAAGTGAATGGACTTCATCTCAAGCCATTTTATGGAGGGTTTCAGGCTCATAGGAAAAAGGAAATAACACTGGACAGGGTTAATGAGGGGAAATGAAAATGCAGGTCGTCTAGCCTAGGACGTTAAACAAGGGCGCTTTGCGGAGGCAACCCAAGTTTAAGGCATGCCTACGCCTTATTTCTAGTTCATTTTCAGTTCATTTTATTTACTGTCATCTTCTCCAATAATTTACCCTAATTTTCTGTTCTTTTATTTACCCTCATACATGTCTACTCATGCTTCTCCATCAACACCACCACCTATCGTCCCCCGACACAAAATCAGAGCCCGTCTCAACAAGCAGAAGCGCTTCAAAGTACCTTGCGATTTGAAGATGCAGCCACCAGGCCAAGTATAAAGCTCTTCAAAGATAGCCCATCATGCCTTGTCCGATTTTCCCACAGGAACAGTGTACTACTTGAGCTCCCGACGCGGGCATGGTTTCCCTATCCACTTCAGCTGCCCATCTTCGACTGCCATGATTCCATATCCTCCACCATTTAGGGAAGTTAAACTCCTCTTTCTTTTCCATTTGTGCTTTTCTTTTTCCTACACATCGAGGACAATGTGTCTATTAAGTGTGGGGGAGGAACTTGCTTATCACTTTGTTTGTCCTTGACCATAGCTTTTATCTAATTAAATCATTAACTTCTAGCTTGAATTTGTGCAACTCTTCTTGTCTTGAATTGATAAAATATGCTGGATTATGTAATAAACTTAATATAACCAGATTTATTCTTAATTTTTGGTGGAATAAATGGTTGATTTTGGTCGTTCTTCTAATCATAAAATATGAGGCTTGAATTAATGAGGTGAAATATGCTTAACTTGCTTGATTTAAATCTACGTCATATGCATATGGAATTTTCACTAAACTTGCCTAGTCACATAATTATTCACATGTGAATGTGTGATGCAAATGAGGTTGCTGCAAAAGAAAAAAAATGGAGAAAAGTATTATGTTTGATTATGTTTGCTCTGTTGTTATGCTCTATTTAAGTAACCAGGGGTCTTCATGCGCCCCATGTTGACACTCAGGCCAAAAAAAAAAAAAACTAGCAGAATATGAGCAGTGCTAGAAGCCACTTAGGATTGTGATGGGCTGAGTAACCGGGGGTAATCACCATAACTGGTCTACTTTCGCGTCAAAAGGTCTATGACACCCTAGGCAAGCCTAAAAGTGTTGCAACAATTTAAAAGCACCTCAATTTCTTGTTTATTGCTTGAATTTGTGTGAGATTTGTGACTTGGCAGGTTGAGGGATGATTCTTTATGCATTAACTTATATGGAACTCATTTGTGTGAATATTCTAAAAATGTTGGAGCCTTGTGTTTTATTATGATAAGAATTATTAAAATCAGTTATTTATTGCTTGAGAAATTGAGACTTGTTGGTTATGTTGAGTTTATTATGTTTTTTTTTAGTATGTTGAATCATGGATTAATGAGGGATTTGTGCGAGTGATGGCTGGACGTTGTTGGTTGACAGATTTGGGTTATGCTTAAGGACAAGCATTGGATAAGTGTGGGGGAGTTTGATGATGTGTATATTTGACTTATATTTTGATTATATTTGGTGGTATTTTGGGCAAATATTCGAATAAATAAAGTAGAATTTATTTGTTTTTATGCATTGTGGTTAGGTAATGGTGAATGATGCAATTGTGAAGATTTTGAACGCTTTTGATGTGTTTTTGAGCTGTTGGTTGGGATTCTGCATGTAAAAGATCCATTTTCCAGAGAGCCGTGCTCACGGTTTAAGGTCGCGTGGATGCAGAGCTGGTGTAGAATTTGGGGACGTGATTTGGCCATTAATTTCCATATTTTCCAGATCTGATTGTGGAGGATTTTTGTACTTAAATAGGACTCTTAATTAGGGACATTAGGGAGAAGTTTTTGCCTATTTTTTCTCTTTCCTTGTTGGATAGAATTTCTTTTTCTAGACTTTCTCTTTTTATTTAAGAGGTTGAACGCAAGAGGGGAGAAGAGACTTGACTCCAGAAAATTCAGAAACATATTATTTTCTCTTTTGCGCATTTTGTAGCCATGTGTGGCTAACTCCTCTTTAATCTAGCAAAGGATTATCAAAGTTCAAGTTCATTCAAGTTGTGAGATCTAAATTTAATCCTTCTTCTTAATTTCTGCAGTATTCATATATTCTTTGTTTTATTGTTTACCATTGCTTTGTTGGTTGTTACAATAAGAGCTTGTTGTGTAATTGACAGGGTGATAGTTTGCCAATTGAAATACCCAAACCCATAATTGTTTAGGTGTTTTAATAATAATGGCAAATAATATGACTTAATTAAAACCAGATTTTCAGGTTGTATTATGAGAATATATGGTCTATAGCTTGAATAAGTTACGCGTGTGATTTATTGGTTAGGGTTGGGTTTTTCTCGTTTTTCATGCTATTAGCGAATTGAATCCTTGGCGCGTGTCGGGGTTATTCATTAATAAGGGATTAATCACAGGCGCGTGTTCGGTTAATCTAATATTAAGGAAAGATTCGGTTGTTATAAGCGTTTCAACAACCATAACCAGTCTATTGCAGTGTTTGAGATTATTCATTTGACTCAATGATCAACTTTCGAACTTGAATGAGATTACCTTTGCTAGATGTTGCATAATCTGATTTTCTTTAATTTCTGTTTGCTTATTTTATTTAAGTATATTCTGCATAAACTTCCCTTTTTAATTTCGCTTTTATTGTTTACTTGGTTTTCAAAGGATTAACAACTGATCAGTCTCTGTGGATTCGACTCTGCTCACCCTAAGTACAATTTATTTATGATTTAGAGAGTAGGAATTATTTTTGGTGAATGGACTGACAATGAGATGACACATAAGGTATTACTCTTTTTGAAGTGTTATCCAATTGCCACACTACCATATTAAATCCATATCAGTAAAGTTAAAAGCATTTGTGACTGCGAAAGGCTCTGTGTGTATACATGCAGTTACCATCATGATTCGGTGTTTGAGACTTTATAGAATCGGATTGACTATTAAGAATTATCATTAGACCAACATAAAGATGCGCACATTATGTACAATTTCAATTAATATAGCCCAAGTGGGAGAATGTAAGAGTTTTTTTAATGTGGGCTACATTAATTAATATTGTAATTTACCGTTTTACAGAGTTGATCTAATAAAGTCAGATATAAAGTTTCTTAATTAGTCTAATATGGGACTGGCTAGTATGGACCGAGTAAGGCCCGACCCGTGATGAAAGGGCCTGGCTTAAAACTCTATAAATAGTGCTCAAGTCCCTCCTCTAACCCTAACGCACATATTGTCTCACATAAGGGGCAAACGCCAACTGTGAGAGGCAGTCTCATCGAGCCAGTGATACAGAGGGTAATAGAGGAGAAGATTTGCATTGGAGATCGTCGCTATTCCGCATCAAGAACAATGAATTCCAAATCAGGTGCACAAATTTCTTTTACTCTATTACTATATTCTAGATTTTAGCTATGAAGATCTTGGGCGTCGTTTTACGCGACTAACATTTATATACCGTCTTACGACTTTCCTTTTCCTTTGATTCTTTCCCTTCTTATTTCAAAACGTCACCCTCCTCCCAAAGTCAATTCGCAGTAGTTGGCACCCATAATTTCTTGGAGACAAAGTAATAAGAATATAGTGTAGTTCAATATTTTTGTTGTGCATTGAAAATTGTTCTTTCTACGTTCACATGTTTCAATAGAGGAGGCGGCTGGCATTGGCATCCATCCCTGCCGGGTTTCAAAAAGTGTACTGCAAGTTTAGTTTATTCAAATGAATGCTCGCCTTCGGCAAAAACAAGTAAATAAATAAGTAAACGGTGCTCGCCTTGTCCTGGTGGATACAAACAATGTTAGTCCATTTCATCGTATTCGCATGTTAAAGTGACAAAAGACTAAATGAACGAAGCATGTATCTAGAAAAGGATAGCACTGATCTTGGATAATAATGAGACTAGCTTTCGAGACTTAAAACTTCTCCGCGCCATAACCTAAAGGGCCTTCATAAAATTTCAAGGCTCGTCAGCATCTCTACGAGCTCTTGGATAACCAACGATGAAATTAAAGATTATTATCACTCGTTGGATCATCAATTAATGGTCGTCCGTCGTGTGAGGCCCGTCAACTTTACCATGGTATAGCCCCCGGCATGGTAGATTAGCCCCAACTTAAAATTTTTCCATATCACAATTCTAGCGAAGACTGAAACATAGACTTGAGATCAATGCCCTTCTATCGTATAAGTAAACTCCCAAGATTATTTGGTCCTAATATATTTAATTTGTCGTCAAATGTAAAGACACTTATCTAACAAACAAGGAAAGGTCTTGACCTTACGTCTTTTAAAGTTGAAACAACACTTACTGATTTTCATTGGATGGGGAGTTTTTCATTGGAGGAGAAGATGACACTGCGAAATCATGTCTAGAACGTGAAAAATACAGAGACGTGCAAGCTGATGCTAACTATTTCAGGAGACTGTGTGAATGGGTCCTCGCCGTGCATATCAATAAAACAGTCAAAGGTAAATGTAACAGACAATAATAATGGACTAAAGGGAGCCTAAAGTCGAAGGTTAGCGTACTAGCTTACAACGTATTTCCACTACATCAATGACCTGATGTAGACGATAAACACTGTCATTACTAATGATGAATAGCCATGTGAAACATTGCTGTAATTCTCTTAAACCAACCCCCTAAAAGAACTCCTAAAATTTCTACCGTTCTTGTTCCACTGCGGTGACCAAGCCTCGATTTAGAGACTTTCTCAGCCGTGCAGTTCGTTTTCGATGAGCTCGGCCCTGCTTGTGTTGTTCCCATTCATGTGCTCCTCTAAGCACACGATCGCCACAGGCCTGTAAGAATTCGGCTCAAACATGTCAAAGACTATGAAAAACACCATTGCAGGACGAGTTGAAGGACGGGATAAATTCAGGGAAAAAAACAGAATGAAAAAAGAACTCCCCACAACACTTGGGGCGTTTGCTTACCTTGCAAATATATTGAGTCCACAAGTTTCTTTGCAGAAACTCAGTAGCAGAGCTTTTTGGGGCTTCTACATTGGGCATGATTGTCACCCTATCTTCATAAAACGATCTCACACATTGCAAAGACGGTTGTACTACTTGCTTGATCCAGGAGTCTTCTGACTGACCTAAATCATGAGAACATTATAAGAAACTTGAGAATCGAAAAATTGACAGCAAAACAAAATCGCTAAGAAATGAGATTATTATACTTGAGATAGCTTCTGTTGCATCCACATAATGGATGTTCCACCCAAACAATGTCTGCAGTCTACGGATCCTCCTTTTCTGTGAAACAACAGAAAGCTTGTCTCACTAGAAAGCACAGGCACAGCCATTTCAAGCTAGAAAATGGAAGTTGAAAGATCTAAATCTTTGCATGCTTCGGTTCTCAAGCAATCACATAAACATCTGCACCTCGAGAATGACATGAGAGAAGGGGGATCCTCGTTTGAAAAGAAGAAAGCAACAACCTCTACTGCTTGAACAGTGAATAAACCTCATTGAGAAAAAGGGAGATTTGCGAAAAAGCATCTGTCTTCCAGCAATTAGACAAACTGAGGGTTATCATAGGTTGTAACAGAGTTTCATAGCATGTATTGAATGAATATCACGGCATATATTTTTTAGTACAAGGTTCAGGCATAGGCACCGTTCGCTAGGTAGAGGGGATAGCCTGAAAGGAAAATATACCAAACTTAATGGAATATGGTCACAGTACTTCATGCTTCACTACAGTATACTCACCTGTCGACGTACAAGTCTTCGAGTATTTAGTTTAAATTTGTCAATGGCTTCTTGTAGTAATACTTTTAGTTGGTTTGTTGGAAGGGATGCCAAGGTCAACCCAGTGTTTTCTTTCAACCTATACTCATCATGAGAACAGCTTGTTTCGGAGTCCCCAACGTCTGCAATGTAAACCCGCAGAAAATCCTCGAACTCTCGTACCCCAATTGCCTGGCGCAGACCTCGAGTACAATCTGAGTTTGGGCAGTAGATGTCATAGACTTCATTAAGCAATCCAGCTTCCACCATGCAGTTAACTCTATCCTCCACATATCGATCGAGAACAGGAAGACATGCATCCACACATATAAAACAGCAATCATACTTGGAATTCTCAATACGCCCCCAGTTCTGCCCTGCCACAATGAAAGGAAAGGGTATCCCTTCCTAGCTTAGTGCTATGATGTATGAGGATAAAAATTTTAGTAAGCACTTCTGGGGAGTGTGTCTGGAGTGGATTTTACTTGACCTTTTGCTTTTTCAAATCTTTCTGCACATGCATCTTGATTTTTTCCATCTTGAGTGCTTGAAATTGTCACAATATATAGATGTTGACACGGTAGCTCATGTATATTATTTTCACAATTTTTTAAAGCTGAATAATATTTCAATTTTGGCGGGAAAATCAAAATAATTACCTTTTAATTTGGAGAGGTCAAAACAAGCAAACCCTAAATTTTCTTATGAAGAATCATTTCAAATTATTACAACCTCCAGAATCCAGAGATCATATTCGCATCAGAAGCTATTAATACATGATGTGAGAAAATTTACTTGCACTTAACTTAAACATATCCATTCCTAGGATAGCAATAAACCTTTATAGGATGTTAACAGTGTAGAAGCAGACCGAGGTAAACACAGCTTCAATAAGTCATATAACTAATACCTAATTGAGGTCAATTACCTAGTTCTTCAAACACTCACAGATACAATAATAGTTCATTAACAAAATGAGATACTGACAAATATTTTCATCAAAAGAAAAGTGGAAGTTCAAGATTCTCAGAAAATCAACTACAGAAAAAAAAAAAAATTGCCAACATAAACATTTGCCCCTATGGTGCTTCAAGTTACTGCTGCTACAAATATGTCATGTTTAAGAAGGCATACAAGAAACCTAAAGACCAACCGATTGAGCTACTTAAGTGGATAGTGAGACAAAATTTCTAGATTTTCCTAAATACAAACAATAAGCAAGTTGACTAGACCGACAAATGTCACCAACCTCTAAAGTTGTGCCCTGAAATAATTCACTCGGAAGGAGACCGGATTGAGCATACAAATTTAGATATTGATTGATCTGCAAAGGATCCAGCACCACGAGCTTCAGTCAAACAATATCTTTCAGCTAATGTGATTCAATTTATAGTTAGAGAAAACCGGGAAATTCTGAAAGTAGGTATACAATAATTACACCTTGTCAAAACAAGAGGAAAAGGCATAAACAGAGAATACAGAGACATGATCCAACAATGCTAATCACCCGTGACTACAGTGGTATTCGGAAAATATTACCAATTCTCACCAAAAGTCTCATTCGATATCAGATTTTCCCTATCATACTCTGTCATAGGAATATCTGCAGCAGGGCATGCTGCTATTGTCATTGGGACAGATTTTGAGTTGAATTCCTATTGAAATGCATAGGAGCTTTTGCAAGTCATCTAAAAATTGCTTAGTGCAAAGTTCTTTGCAGGCAACACCAGGAAAATAATTTCTTTTGCATAGTGGCATCTATGAGCTGCTCTGTATTATGAACTCTTTGATCTCCTGAATAGGCAGAAATGATGAAATTCCATGACCACAAGTCTGCTAATGTGTATAGACCTAAATGTATATGAAAATATAACACGCTGAGCAGGGATAAGTGCAATTGAAGTGACAGCAAATCAATTCATTGACAACCCCTGTCTGCGTACATTATAGATTCGCAACTGAATCTTTCGATTCAGTTAACAGCCTAAACAATGTGAAGTTTTCTTAAGTGAACAATTAATCCTAAATTATGTCAAAATATATAAGTTCACTATTGAATTTACTTCAGTGATATGAATCAATATATTCATCAAATTCATAAATTCCAGATTTTGATTAACGATTGTATCTTGAATGAAAACTATGCTAACAACATTCATACTTTTCTCTGGTTATTCGGATGAATTCTTTGCGCAGCAACTGGATCTATGTCTTTCAAGCGATCGAAGGTGAGAGCATTCCTATCTCTATTGAAGTCAACTTCACAATCGTCATGCTCGTCACCTGAGAGTCAACAAAGCATTCGTTAATGTACAATAACCACTGGGGCTCAAGCAAGATAATGACAATTACCAGGAGTTTCATCTAAGTGGCCGTCATCCATGTGATCCAACGAATCATCCAGAAGAAACAGACTCACGAGAGCCTAGTTAGCAACAAAGAGATAAAAGAAAATTAACCAAACACCCAAAGAGAACAAATTTCTCCCAGGATATACCTATTACTATAGATCCAAATTGGGTATGAAGATGACCTAAATTACGTTTTCCAGCAACAGATACTTCACTGAAGATTCACATGGTAGGATCAGATAGAGCATCATAAGTACAAAAACTATGCAGGACATGTAGAGACATCAAATAGCTATTCTTTATCAGGCATTGGCAACTAAATAATCTCATAGTCCAGAAGCTGAGTCACTCACATTCAGTCAGGAAACTAAAATTCACAAGTTGACTCTGACGAGGGATGGACTTTAAAGTGACAGAAATTAAGCGAACTCATCGTTACAATCTTGCATGAATTTAGAGCATGAGGTGTGATTGAATTAACACTACAGCCCCCGTTGGTGAATTCACAGAGTAACTACTCCAAAGTGCGAACACAAAGAACAAGCCGCAGGCTATTCAAGCAAATGAAAAAGAAGTGCCGCGTACTCTACCTGGATATAGTAATTTGTACCCCCAACTATGACTGGCAAGTTATTCCGAGACAAGATCTCATCAATGAGCTGAAGTTCGGGAAAAACACAAAAGTTTCAATCCCATCAAGACAAAGTTAATGAAATTCAACATGTCATCGTCGATTTTAAAGAAGGCGAACCCACAGGAACAGCAGAGTCCCTAAACGCCTTGGCCGTGAACTCCACGTTCGGGCTTACGGTGCCCAAAAGATGATGAGGCACTCCTGCGCAACATCCACCCAAATTCGTGAAAAACAGCTCCGAAACGGACCATGATAAAAAACACCCCGGCGCGCGTGAGGAGAAAGCCTCAGAAGGCAAGAGGGTTTCCGGGAACACCTTGCTGTTCATCGAGGGGGACTTTGTTGGTGAGCACGTCGAGGCCGCGGTAGACCTGCATGGAGTCGGCGCTGACGACCTCGACGGGGAGGTGGGCGGCCAGGTCGATGGCCAGGCGCGACTTGCCGGAGCCGGTGGGGCCCATTATGATAACCACCTTCGGCTTCCGCCCGCCGGCCCCGGGGCCTCCGCCGCCGGGGCTCGAGCTTCGCTCCTCCGGTTCGGCGGCGCCGTCACCGTCGCCGTCCATGTCTTTCGGGGTGCGTTCGGCTCCCTCCGGGCCAGCTGAAGGAGGAAATCGGGTCAGCACGACCCGGGTCGAGGCAAAGTATTTATCCGGAGAAACGGACGGGCCGAGGAGCTTTATGCGTATTGGGCCTGGTTAAGCTTCCACAATACAAACAAAGCCCTTGAATTACTCGCTCTTTACTTCTGATTTTTTATTATTATTTATATTCAAATCAAAATGGATATATTTTTTCTGTTTTTTTTTTAATTTCTTTTATTTAAATTGAAATCAAAATGGCGTAATTAGCTTAAGAAATCTGCGATTGTCTCTGTGGCCCCGTGAGTTGTGACCCTAATTTAGCCGTTTGAAAATAGGATTAATATCATGAAAAATCACAAACTGGTATACGTGTGACAATTTACCTTAAATTAATTTTTTGACCACAAAAAATCTCAAATCGGTACAAATGTGACAAATTTATCCCATCTCAAATTGATACATTTGTGACAAATTTATATTCTGTTATCTTCAGTTAAATTGAATTAATACTAGAAAAACCACAAAATGGTACAATTGTGACAAATGGATGGTAAAATCTCAAACCGGTACAACCGTCAACAGCCACTTGTTATCCAACTCAGCAATTTGATAGTAAAATTTAACGGAAACTAATTGAGAGTAAATTTGTCACATATATATTAATTTGTGATTTTTCATGATATTAGCCCTTGAAAATATGAGGGAGCAAATTTTTTTTGGAAGAAATTTATTATACATAATACATATATATATATATATATATATATATATGGTCATGCATTCCTACTATATATATGTTGATAAGGAAATCTTTCATCATTCCTCACCCGCTGCTCACACATCAAATCACCACGACGACCATGGACACACCCAACTCGCGGATCACCGATCCACAGCGGCGAAGTATCCTCCTGTTGCCCTGGTTAGCCCACGGCCGCATCTCTCCCTTGCTTAAGCTCACCAAGAAGCTACTCTCTTCTTCTTCTTCTTCTTCTTCCCGCCAAAGCCCCTTCCTCATCTTCTTCTGCTCCACCCCCGTCAACCACGCCTCCCTCCAGGCCATCCTTACTCCCCATCTCTCCCCTTCGACCCGGCTCATCGAGCTCCAGCTCCCACCGTCGCCCCCTCCACTCCCCCCCCCGTCCCCCTCCCCCCCCACTTCCACACCACCCGCCGCCTCCCTCCCCACCTCATGCCCTCCCTCAAGGTCCACCTTCGACACGGTTGGCCCGGCCTTCTCCGACCTCCTGGACACTTTCAAACCCGACTCGGTTGTCTACGACTTCCTCTAGCCCTAGGTCCCGAGAGTATTAGAGTAATTAATTATTAAACAACGCATTCATCTAACAGCTTAAGTTATTAGAACAGTTGGCAGTGGTCCTACAAAAATCTTACATAGTATCAGAGCTAGAGTTCTTGAGTTCGAATCTTTCTAGGCCCTATTTGCCTCCCTAATTAAATATGTCCACGCTTAGTACTAGACAAAAAAAAAAGACCAGACTAAGCGTGAGGGGGAGTGTTAGAGTAATTAAATATCAAACTACCCATTCATCTAACAGCTTAAGTTATTAGAACAGTTTGCAGTAGTTCTACCAAAATCTTACAGAGAGCAGCCCGCGACCCTCCATAGCATGGACTTGGACGGGGAGTACCCCTTTCCGCCGCTAAGGTTCAAGAGGGGCGAGTGCGATAAGATCATGCCAGTTCATGTGCGACAAGGACAATGGCACCAGGGACATGGACCGGGTGTTAGAGAGCATCAGGAGGTCTGAGGGCGCCATCCTGATCAAGACGTGCAGAGAGATCGAGGGCAAGTGCGTGGACTACCTCGCGGAGCTTGTTGGGAAGGAGGTCATCGCTGTCGGGCCTCTGATTCAAGAACCGGCCGGAGGTGATGCCAGAGACGACGAAGGGGAGATACTTGGGTGGCTGGAGGAGAGAGAGAGCGGCTCGGTGGTGTTCGTGTCATTCGGGAGCGAGTGCTTCCTATCGAAGGAGGAGATGGAGGAGGTGGCACGTGTGCTGGAGCTCGCGAGCGAAGAAGTGGGGTTCGTGTGGGTGGTGAGGTTTCCCGGAGGAGACACAGAAAGTGAGTATTGTTGAAGCTTTGCCGGAAGGGTTCTTGGAGAGGACGAAGGACAGAGGCATGGTGGTCCAAGGATGGGCTCCTCAGGCCAAGATCCTCATGCACCCGAGCACAGGTCTTTTCGTGCCAACAAAACTAAAGCTATAGTTTAAAAACGGTTTACAAAAACTACGTGTTAAATTGCAACTCAGTACTTAAATAAGGGGGTCATACTCAAACGTCCAAACAAAAGGGGTCAGAGTCACGCATTTTGTATAGTGATCCTATATTGTTTGTGCTGTCATGCCACGTTTATTTTTCTGTGTTACGACATTTATTCAATGTTGTGACACCATAATTGATTATAAAACAGGTGGGTTTGTGAGTCACAGCAGTTGGAGATCAACATTGGAGGCAATAGTCTTCGGCGTACCCATCATAGCCATTCCAATGCACCTCGATCAGCTCTTAAACGCCAAACTAGTGGCAGATCTTGGGGTTGGCGTGGACGTCCGGAGAGAGGATGGCAGGTTCCCGGTGGAGGACGTGGCGAAAGTGATCAAGCAAGTGGTGGTACGAGAAGAAGGCGAGGAAGTCCGGAGAAGGGCCAAGGAACTGAGTGCGAGGATCAGGGAGAGGCAAGAGGAAGAAACGAGCACAGTGATGAAGAAGCTGGAACGACTTTTTGGAGGAACAACTTTCAATCTTGGCCAGACCGTGACTTGACATGGTGGACCAAGATTTGGATTTGCTAGTTGCTGGCATAATTTATATAGTGGGAGGCATATATATTAGGAGTAATCAATGCATTTGGGTTGATGTTTCACGAATCTGATCTGGTTCTTGATCTTTTCCAAACTCTTCGATTTCCATGGTCAAAACAAAAGAAACACAAGATAGCGGTAAAGAAATTCAAGACGAGTTGACTACATAGATGTAAGCTAACTAGCTTCATACGATATAAGTGCTGACTCTCCTTACCAAGGAGACAAGTTTCATCCTTTCTAATCTTTATCTACTATGAACTCAATAAGGTTTTCAACCTCAAAGAGACATTCAAATGGACATCTGCGCAAACGTTTTGAGTTTAAGAGGGTGACACTGATATTGTGGACTGGGACCATTGATTGATTTAGATTTACTTTGTATATGATGCAATTAATTCTGTACAGAAGTCTGTTAATAGGCTAACTGGTATAGTCTTGGCATATATTGATTTCTTTGCTTAACTGAGATATGAAATGCATGGTATAAAATAGCTAAAGGTTCGCCTCTTCATTTTTGTGCAATTTAGGAGGACGGCAAACCAAAATCGAATTTAAGGTATTATTCCTCAAACTCAAACCAATCAAAGCGAAAAATTCGATTTCGTAAAAGGAGGCCTGTGCTTATACATCAAGAGAGAAAAGATGAGATATGCCTAGGTCTTTTCCTGTTAAGAATGCAGACGATTTTACAAATCTTGTGATCTAGGGACACATTTAGACACTCCAATGTCAGATTAGATTAATCACTCTTCCTCATTCAAAATGAATGATTTTCAAGATTTTATTAACTATAAGGACCGAAGTGAGTTACATGTATTTACTGAAATAACTTAGTCATTTTTTGGTTCTCGAGCAACTCATCGAAAATATTCTAAACTGCCGATCATGACTCAAAAATTGTAATTTCAGCTCCGGCATTTGCAGAATTTCGCGAGAGCGAAAGGTACGAAAATATCATGCTTTCATAAACCATCTCCAGAAGCTATCATAGGAAAGTTTCATGTTTGATTTAGAGACTTTCTCAGCCGTGCAGTTCGTTTTTTATGAGCTCGGCCTGGCTTGTGTCGTTCCCATTCATGTGCTCCTCTCAGCACACAGATCACCACAGGCCTGAAAGAATTCGGCTCAAATATATCAAACACTATGAAAACCACCTTTGCAGGACGAGTTACTAACAAAGTGCTTTGTTGTTGTTTTTCATAATTGCTGGATACTAATGCCAAGGATTAGGTGAGTTAGAGAAAAAATTGAGATGCCATATGTTAGCACCAAAAAATAACCAGGTGTTGGTGCAGCTAGTCAATGAAGTGATACCAATTGACAAGAGCCCCGGTGTTGGTCGACAAAGGTGCCGATAATAAATACCAAATTACGGCCAAGTGCTGATTAGGAAGAATCGACAAATGAAGTATAGCAATGCAGTCGACTGGAATAGGAGTGCAGTAAGCGAGGAATTGGAGCTGATATAGGAAATTGTAAATGCAAATAAGTGTTGCTGAATAACAAGAGCCGCAAAATTAAATTTTAGTTAACCATTTTATATACCTCTTGACAGAATGGTGTAAATACCCAAGTGTGTTCTTTGTAAAGGTTTACGCAATCAATGAAGGAATTCAATACATTTACTTTTCTTGTACAACTTTATATTTTTGTTAACGACTGCTCCTAGTATTCACATATTACATTTTTTTTCATTCACTTTCCATTCTTGAAATTAACAAAAAATCCTTCGAACTATGTCGATTGGACTAGTGTGTTAATTCGAAAGGTATCTGACTTTTCTGGTGAACACCATGCATGTAAGCAAACTAGAGCGACCTACCCGGCCTTTGTCGGTTTCTCACGAGACCTGGTGCTGGAAATTTTTCATTAATTTCTTTATGTGATGATTAATTGAGAAGGCTATATATAAATTAGTGGTCATGAAAGTCTTGTGCTAGTGTGTGTGTGTGTATATATTCCGAAATTAAGAAAGTCTTATGCCAGTATAATAATATCTTGATGGGTTACAAGTGTGAATATTTCCTACATTTTTTTTTAATATTTAATTAGGTCTGTATGGAGGTGATGTTTGTAACTTTAACCCATGAATCAAAGACATGATTGAAGGAAAGAGGAAGGGAGGAATTCTTTGGAGTGCTATGGCAATGCCAACTGACAAATGAAGGTACACAAATATATATGCGT